TGATGCTGCAGATATCACCTCAACTACACTTCCTCTTCTGCATCCATTTATAATGTGAACCATCTCAAACCATGATGCTGGTTTCGTGTATTTTCTATGATCATTCATTGGAAGCACCTAGATGGCGAAGCCAAGGTTGGCGATGTTGTGGAGGCTGAGGGTCCTTTTCCTGTCCCAGTGATCACTCTATACGTAGGTGGATTCACATTTACAATTTGTTCTTTTGGGGTCTTTCTTTTTCTTTGAACCAGCCCAGGCATGGAGAATCTCCCATTTACTCATCAGGAAATGAACTTGCCGTCTGCTTCGCAGTACTGTGGAAGGGCATTAGTTAGGATGACTCTGGCAACCCTGATGATTCTCAGGTACTTTTGATTTAAGAAGCATTAAACATTTTGCAACAGACTTCTCAGGGGACAGTACCAGTGTCTCTGGCAGGTCTCATGGTATTCCTTAATGGATATTTTTGTTCCCTCATCTAAAACAACAGCTTAGAGGGAGGAGAACACATGGTCTCCTCGTGGGGTCAGAACTCAGCTTTAAAACTGTGAAAAGATCTAGCAACAGCCACGCCTATTGGGGCAGCGTCCCCCTGTGCTGCCTGTCCATCAAGTGGTGAGGGCCTGAATGCGATCAGCCGCTCAGTTGGTGATGTGGACTGTTTTGCAGAAAATGATTTAGATGAGCCATCTCCCTTCTTCTTCCTGGTTATAAAGACAGGTGCCTTGGGGAGTGTCTCAGATCCTGGATTAAAATTCAATACTACTGAGAATATTGAGAAAAAATGCATAGCAAAAACATCTTGCAAAGCAGGTTTACTTCAGGGACATATGCAGTTCTCTAGAGGCTCACAGATGACTTGGACAGCTAGTGCCCCCTGCCCAGTTGAGGCACAGTTAGTGGAACTGGTACTATAGCATTTCCCCCAAAATAAGCCCTAGTCAATTGTTACCATGGTGATGGCCAGTGTGCAGAAGATTATACCTCACTATTCTCTTGCTCAGTGGCTACTCTGCAATGACAGGTAAGGGAAGAATAGGCTGTTTTGGGCTGGCATTTTGGAATTCCCATTATCCAGGCTGTTAGATCTTATTTTCAGGGAAACGTGATCTAATGGAAGTCAGGATGAATGGCTTGTGATTCTGCCTTGTACTCACTGTATAACTTTATGTGGAGCTGGTCACATCTCTAAGGGCTCTATTTCCCCTGCAAAGCAATGGTGACAACAATGACCCCAAATAATAAGTGAAAGTGCTCTGCAGACCTGCTGTCATGACAAAGATGGACCATTCATTACCTTATGCAGGTGGGATCAAAAGAATTTTTGAGATTAAAGAGATTTACTTCTAGGAGTAGGAAGACCAGAGCCCAGAGTGCAGTTCTTTTTCATGTCGAACAGGGGCAGTGGGGGTGTGTGTATAGAGCCCTCCACAGCTCACAGTACAGCTACCTCTCCACTCAGGCTTATTACTTCCTGATGCTCAAGATGAAGCCGACCGCTCTCTGCACTTCCTGCTCTGCCACCAACACGGGGTCTTTTCCTTCATTCCTTTCTTGTGACCCCTCAGAAAATCAGCCACCATCCAGGCCAGAGGTTGCAAACTCAGAGGACAGAAGGACCTGGAAATTCACAGAAATGAGGAAACCAGCCATCTAGATAGGCCTCCTGTGTCAAAGGGCCACAGCTTCTCCGCTCCTAACGTTGCAGTCTTTCAGGAGAAGATGGAGTCTGGAATTCTATTTAAAAAACTCTTTGCATGTTGAAAAGTTAACCAATCATTCTTAAATGTTTGAAATATCCCATGTTTACCAGACTAGAAACACTTGTGTCTGAGCTAAGAGCTTGAAAACTCTGGTCCAGGTTAACTCCTTCATTTTCACAACTCAAAATCCTCAAGCTCCCAAACCCAGCCCAGCAATGTTCAAAGACCATGGACTTATAGCCTTCCAAGACCTGGACACCAACCCATTTGCAGCTAATTTGCTGTATGGCCTTGACTGGGTTTCTTACCTTTTCTGTGCCCAAGTTTTATCAACTGTGCAAGAAGATAATCGTGCATCAGCTATGAAGGATTTGGAAGAATTTAAGATACAAAAACAATGAAAGATCACAAGTAATATGAGGTATGATTGAATGATAAGGTGAATGTTTATGTTGAACAATTTCAGTACAGTAAAAGGCACATTGCCATTAATCCTTCCCAAACTACTCCTCACTCCCAAGTAAACATGGGATATTTCAAACATTTAAGAATGATTGGTTAACTTTTCAACATGCAAAGAGTTTTTTAAATAGAATTCCAGACTCCATCTTCTCCTGAAAGACTGCAACGTAGAACATAGTTATCCCATTGTTACTGCCACTTTCTGAAGCAGTTCTACAAGTCCTTTCTCGTGAGTGTCTTTAGTTGCATTGCTGCGGCTGTCTTGATGTCCTGAAATGAGTCCAATACTTTTCTGGTCATTTTGACTTTGGAGAAGAGGCAGAAGTCACAAGGTGCCTTGTCTAGAGAATAAGGTGAACAAGAACGCACTCTGTCTTTACAAGCCTGCCTTTCCTTTCGATGATACTCGGCAGTAGCAGTCACTGCATTTTTGATCGTACCTCATAAAGACATTAAAGGGGACTTGCAAGCTTCAGAAAGTAGCAAGAATGACGGGAGAAGTGTGTTCAAAGGAAGAAGGAGGATTTTGTGAGGGAGATTAATAACAAAGTATCTTCTACTGTAATAAATTTTTAAAAAACTAAATATTCACCATATTTTTCAGCCACACCTCCTCCGTGAAAACAACTGCTACAGGAAAGGCACTCGGTAAGTATCTCCTTTTCCCTCAAGGCTAGCAAGTTAATGCAAAACTGAGTGCACGAGCCTGTTGGTCTTCATCTCCCGAATCCCTCTTGTTTATCTTTCACCACATCTCCGTGTTTTCTTGCCTCTAGAGCTGCATTTTCAGAGTTGTCAGGTATGATTTATCCTGGAGCCTAAGCACAGAACTAGGGATTTCAACACCTGCTTTCTTCTCCTAGAAACATGCCACACTGTTCCCTAGAAGTTTTACACTTCCTCTCTGGAACAAAAGTGACAAACAGTGTGAAGTGAGGCAGAAAGACTGTATTTTTACCTAAACCATAGAGAGCCCAGCTGTGAAATGCCCAATGCCCATGGGTCTGGGACCAGCCTCTAATTTGTTATAGAAATGGTTCTTAAAGTATGCGTTATATTACTTTTCACATATGGTAAGACCAACAGCTCAGGAGACAACTGCCATTGAAAAGGAAAGATCAATAGTGTCTGACTGTTGCTGCACAAGGGCAGATGAGGAGGCTCTGGGTCAGTCAGTAGATGGAGTGAGGGCAAAATAGAAGAAAATCTTTATTATGGTTTATGCAGGAACAATCAAGGCAATGCAAGCAGGCTTAGGACTGGCTAGGTTGAAACATTTCAGCATGACGTGGAATATAGAGACTGTATCTTCAGGTGTCTGGGATCTGGCCCTGTGATGATGAAGGTAGTGGGATCGTGACCCACAGTGTGAGAGCCCATAAAAGAGGTAGTTTGGCATGGGCTTCAGGTAAGCGTATTGTCATACAAAAGGTGTGCTTGTAGATTGGGTTCATTGTGTCACTTGACTGGCCTGGGAGCCGCCTAGGGCATTAGTGGGGCACACTTCTGGGTGTGTTTTGGTGGGCATGGAGGCATGAGCTCAGGTACTCTGTCTGGTCCCTGGCTCCTTCCTCTCAGGCACTGTTCCCCTGCTCTTCTTTCTGATTGCCCAGATCTGAGCAGCTTTGCTCTGCTACACCCTTTCACCATGACATTTCTGCCTAGGAGCCAGCTGACCATGGACTGAGCCCCCTGAAACTGTGAACAAAAATTTTTTTTGTTTGTTTGTTTTTGGTTTTTTTTGTTTTTTTTCTGGTACCGGGAACCGAACTCACGACCTTGCACTTGCCAGGCAGGCACTTTGCCGCTGAGCTAAATCCCCAGCCCCTATGTGAACAAAATTAACTGATCCCCTCCTTCTTTAAAATTTGGGTGTCAAGTATTGTACCTCAGTGATAGGAAAGCTAACACAGCAGGGATTTGGGGCCCTGACAAGAGGATTCCCTCTAGGTCTACTGAGGACTTAGATGCCATAGCATTAGAAGTAGAGCAAACAGAAAGGCATAATTAACACACCATGTCCTTAAGTCAGTGTCTACTCCCTTTGCCCATAAGTGCATAGATTATCAGCAGGTTGGGCAAGGGTTTCTATACCAGGCTCCTTGTGTAGGAGCACAAGAGAAGGCCAAAGGATGTAGGCAATTAATGCATCCCCAAGTCCGAGGATGGGTTAGGCACGCTGCTAAAAAAAAAAAAAAAAAAAAAGTTTTGTTTTGCTTTCTCCAGGTTAATATGGTCCATGGCCTGAGATTCTGATATTCTGGGGCACTCTTTGTGTGACTAAATGCAGCCCCCACTCTGTGTGTGTGGAGAAAATTACATTTGGATCCAGGGAGGGCAATGGAGTAGAGATTATTCTGCTTGAGTGCACTGCCCTTTATCAACCATTTCATCAGAATTTCTGGAGCATGAAGCTGTGTCAGGCCTCCTCCACAACTGTTCACATATAGAAGGAGGAACATTTCTTTCTGGCTGTAATCCAAAGCATCATTCTCAAGCATCCAGAGACAGGGAAAGCAAAATCAAATCCATAGACTTGGAATCTAGTTAGGGAATAGTTGTAGGAGACGACACAAACAGCAGCCAGGCTACGTCAATCTCCAGAGAAACCTGTTTCTCTTCCTGTCACCAAAAAAAAAATTGTGCTTCTCAATATTCTTCCATGTCAGCCTTGGATTTAGTACCGCATAACAGACAAATTGCTAGTTTGAGTGTCTTCTTTCAGTTTGACTAGATAATCAGGAAAGAATGGTTAGGCACACATACACTCAAGCTTAAAAGAAAGACCAAATGCTTTTAAAAACACATCACAGGGGTTTTAAAAACCGGGCACCATTTTACTATTTAAGAAAAAATATTTATTTGCAGGAAATGGAAATACAAATGCATTACAATTTCAATTTATTGTTTTCAAACTAAGTACAAGTGTTCTACAAAGCATTCTGGGGGAGGGGATATTTACCTAGCTATGATAAAGACCAAAAGGCCGTAAAAAACCAGCACAATAGAACAGATAATAGACTCACATGGTACTTAGATTTAAACACCGCTGATCCATATAACCTGTTACAAAAGAGAGAAAAGCCGGGCTGTAAGTACAGACATTAAAGCGCACTGGTGATTACAGTCCAGGATCTGCGCACATCACGTACAAAGGATCACTCACAGTGTGTCAGAGTGCTGGTGTTTTCCACAGACTCACACAGCGCTTTTATCTGAGAGGGAGATTTTTCTAAGCAGTAAAGGCCATGGGTGCGCGGAGTTCATGTTTTCACCCAGCTGGTGAGCAAAGGATGGAGGCAGAGAAATAGAGCTGAAACCCCTGGGGTCCCTTTTCCCTGAGGGAAAGCCTGCGAGCTGGAGCTCATAGAAGAGGGGATGAAAAAGACAGGAGACGGCGTCGATGGAGCACTCCGGCAGAAGGCGAGCAACTGAGCTCTGTACAGCGGGGCCAGCACAGCGGGTAGGAGCGGTGTTCCCTGCCCAGAGAACTGGGAGAGTTAACCGCTGTCCTCAGAAAGGGGTCTGCTCAATCTGTGCCACAAACTATCCAACCTCGAGTCACTCAGTGATTCATCCACCTCATGGTGACCGGCCACCCTTGCTTCCTGTGTCTCTAACATTAAATGACTTCCAACTCACTGAGCGCAAAGCCAACACCTAATGCCTTCCTTCTAGACTCCAAGATAGAATAAAACACTCTAGAATTTTATGTTGCCCATAATAAGAAGACACCAAGTTTCTGTCCCCTGTGGTGAGTGCTCACCCTTTGGCCCCAGAGGCCGGAAGCACTAATCTTCCAATGGGCCAGGTTCCTTTGCACGGCGAAAATGCTCCGCTGTGAGGATTTGTAATACCTTTAATCCTGGCTGCCCGTTGTTGATGTGATTGCACCTTTACAAAATGAGATTTCCCTAATGGATATAACCCAATTTCTTTTCTCCTGATGTGCACATCTAATAGTGGCTCGCTTTTAGAAAACCACTTTTGAGCCTCTGCAAAAAGTTCTTTCCCCTACACTCACTTCAACCTCACTCTCTAAGGATATATATATATATAACATCTCCCAGGGACAAGAGAGTCCTCTGTCATCCTGGATTCTTCTATAAGGCACTTTTGAGGCACAAAGTATGGAAGATAAGGGGGAATGCCTGTGTGTGTTTCGGGGGTGGGGGAAGGGAAGAGAGGGAGAGATACAGACCCAGCACATAGACCTTTGGGATAGTTTTTGATTAAATGAAGTATCCCCAGTCCCTTTTATTCTTATTCCTAGGGCCTAGGAGAGGGGCGTTCACTCTTGCTTAGTAAAACTGAAACATCCCAGGAGTAACTAAATGAATGAATGATCTGACATCTGCCTCTGGCTCCTTCTGGAGCTCTTCACTGTCCCACCTCTCTCCTGCACCTGCCTCCCAAGAGGGCTTATCCTACCACACCAGCCAACTGTCTCAGCAGAGAGTGGTCAAATAAAGCGGCCCTCCCTAGGGCACTGCAGTCCTGTCAGACCTCTACCCCAGGTTCCTCCCACAATGGACTCAACAGAAATAAACTAGTGACCTGTGACCCACAGGTAGTGGCTGAACACTTTCCCTGCTGCCTCCATGTCCCTGGGGTGACAAGGTCAGCAGGGATGGCCTACGCCTACTCTAGCGATGGGATGGGATATGTCCAAATTTCTGGACTGCACTCACATACACACCTCAGATGCTATGTGTTTTCAGAGGGGCTGGCCCAGGCTGGCCTCTGATTCTTCCTATGGTTCTGCCTGGTCTGAGGACATACGAGGGAGGGCCCATGAAATGAGGAGAAAGAGTTTTAATAAAATACCTGTGACAAACATGCTGGACACTGACTCAGCATCAGAACAAAGAAGAATCAGTTCAACACTCCTACTCTACAGGTACGCAAGAGTCACAGCCAGCCCATGCAATCCAAGCCTAATGGAGAGATTCATAAGAGAAAAGGATCTGGTATCTATAGTTGGTTTGTAAATAAGTCAAACTGAACAATGTTTTCCCAGTCTACAAATAAGGTCTCCAAATCAAGATCATTTATATTCACCAAAGGTTATCTAACTATGCCTACACCAATGTCAGCTTCCACTCCCACTTCCTGCCAAAAAGGAACAATTTAGTTCAGCTGTCAGACTTTTATAGAACACTCTTCTCCAGTATCCATCTCTAATGCTTCGTTGAGAGCTTGGAAAAGAACCATTCTGGGGGGCAGGGGCTTCCTCAGGTCCCATCCAGATTCAGAGAACGATGCAAGACTTTTCCTTTACTAGGGTAATCAAAGGAAGGGAAGCAGGAAGGCCTGTTCACACCATGGAAAGCAGAATGAGCCTATGTCTTGTTTATGGCTTTGGGTTTTTCTAATAGTCTCGTATTCTTCAAAACTTAAGTTAAGGGGCCAATATCTGCCATGATTTGAAAACTGCAGGGCTAACAATGACTGGTCCTTGGGACTGCTCACCCCATGGGGAAAACAAACCTATAGAGATGCTGGGTTTAATCCCTGGACAGAAAATGAGCACATGTCCACGAATTTTCTGGAACCAATCTGCTGTTATCCAACTCTCCCGGGTCCTGCTGACCCCGTTTATGCTGAAGGGACCACTGTTTAGCTCCCTTTATTCCTGCAAGCCAGGAATGCAGGACAGAGGTTTTGAGCCCTGTCTCCAGTTATAGATTCTGTTCTGGAAGGACAGTTTCCCAGGAAAAAGCCCTGCCATCTGGCCATCTGGAGAGAGCTATGTGAAGCAAGGGTAGACAGGAACAAAATAAAATCCTTGGTGCACTAAGGATGGGGGCTAGACATTTCCTTGTTCTTCTGCCTCCTCCTTCGGAAATGTAGGTTTCCGCCCAGGCTACCTCCAGCTCCTCGAAACCCCATCGGGCTCAGCTCCAACGGACACAGGCTGCCCGTGACCACACATCTGCCCTTACACATCAAAGTCTTCTTTTCTCGTCACCCAAATACTTCCTGAGTTTATTCTGGGTTTTTGTCTTTTTAGGGACACACAGTCTGCCTGAGTGACAAGCAACCGATCTTTGAAGGGATGGGTTGGGGCAGCTGTGGCTCATGGTTACCGGACACTAGGAGGGCCAGCAGGATCAAGAGCCTGAGACAGTGGAGTGGAAAGAAGTGAACGTACAGGTTGCCAGCCACTCCCGCCTCCCAGAGCCCGACATCCAAGCCTGCCCTGCCCATTGGGAGGGACGGCTACAGGCTACAGGGCCACTGTGGTGGCAATACAGTTCTCACACACATCAAGATGAATAAGGCCATTTCCCACCACAGATGGGGCCAGCCAGACAAGGCAGGGAGCCGCTTACAGGGAATGACAGCATAGCCTAATGCCACCAAATCCTGCATCTGATATGGGATGGACAGGGAGTGGGCATAATCCCTCTTAAGTACAGGCTCCAGTGATGATGTAGATGATGATAAGACAGAGACAGAAAGAGAGAGAGAGAAAGAGAGAGGGGGAGAGAAAGCCAAAGCTAAAGGCCCTTCAGCTGCTACCAAAAATAAAATACCAAATGTAAGCATATTTCTTGCACAAAATCTTTCACAAGCTAAAGAAAAAAAACACTTAAGGGAATCTTCTACCTTCTACAATAAAAAGGCAATTTCCATTTCTTATTTATATGAAAGAGGAAAGATTTTTTAAACTACAAAAGTGACTTTTTTAATCATTAAAAAAAATAAAAGAAGAGTGGGGGTTAGGTTATATCTCTTTGGGTGAGCTGCACAGTAGCCTAACTCGACCATAAAAGGTAAGAACACGGCTGTACCAATGTGCCCTGCTCAACCCTCTGGTGGAGGAAGGCAGAGGGGAAGCAGAGAGAGAAGAGTGGTGGAGACGGGCAGGTGGGGCAGGTGTGCAGGGCAAGCAGCAGAAATGCCTGTTGCTGGGGACAGGCTTCCCTTCTCTGTATGTGAACCAGAGGGAGAAAGCATGGGCCACAGAGCCACGGGCCTGAGCACCACACCATTCCATCATTCCACCTGCACCATGCAACAGAGGGCACCTGCTAACATGGACTCTTAATCGTAAGTATTAGATAGGTTTCCAATTTTAAAATAAGCAAGAAAGGAAATGAAATATTATCTGGAAATATTGGGAATCCCAGTGCCTACAGAGGGGCCTCCGAACACCAAAGGTGACCGAAGACTTCATTAGCACGGGAGAGGCACAGGCTGTTCTCGGTGTGGTCACCAGCGGGAAGCCTCAGCAAGCTAATAAATACTATTTACAAACGGGGAGGGGAAGCGGGAAGGGAGGGCCGTGGGTCTGCGGGCGGATGGTGGGAGAGGTCCTACAAGCATGAAGATGGGCAGGTTTGCATGGAGAACAGCCTGATGCTTTTAGGCATTGCACTTGCGGCCTGAGAGTACAACGGGGAGCCCTCGTCCATCCACGCCAGGGGAGGGACAGGCCAGCCAAGGCTCCGGAGGGCGGAGGGGAGGGAGGGGGCTGGTATGATGCCCGGGCGGTCCCAGGGCTGTGGGCCATTCATATGGGAGGCCTGGTGAGAGCGGGATGGACAAGCGTCAGTTCTTGGCCAAATCCCAACAGGCACCGCGGCATTTTGTGGCTAGTCTGGGGTCTCAGTTGAACAAGAATCATCTCTTTTCAAAGAGGGGTCGCACTTTGCAGGGGAGAGTCGGGCAGTATCTTTTTGGCACTACGGGTGGAAACGAGATGCGGGTCCCACCCCAGTCTCCTCCTAAAAGAACTTCCTATGACAGTTAGAGAAGGGGACAGAGGCAGGCACATGCTGGGAACCACCAGTGCCTCCCATCCCGGCCACAAGCGCTCGCCCAGGTCTTCAACCGGATCCAGTGGCAAAGAGGAAAAGCTGATGACCGCCGTGGTTCGGGGATGTAAAGTAGAGGTAATAGGAGAGGGACCGTCGGGGAGATGCCTCCTAGAAGGTGGTGTTCACTCTTCTGTCGAGCTCTACAACTTTGAGTGTTTCGTTCCCCTCCAGTTTGGCGCTGACCCTGGAAGAGGTGAGGAGGAGAAAGAAGCGTTAGCCACGAAGCACCAGCTACAGCTCTCCGGCCTCAGAGCGGGACACGCTTGCCCTGTGCCTGCAGCCCTGTGACCCGGCCCAGGCTGACTTCCTGTCCTTTTCATTCCTGGTACGAACCTTAGGACTAACTCTCCCTTCCCCGAGTCCCTGCCACCAGCCTGCCACGGTCCCACCTTTGTCCCCCACCCAGGGGGAGGCATCTCAGTCAGTGGGTAAACATGGAGAACTGGTGCTAGTGGTTTTTTATTTTTGTTTGTTTGTTTTGTTTTTCTCCGGTACCAGGAACCGAACTCACGACCTTGCGCTTGCCAGGCAGGTGCTTTGTTGCTGAGCTAAATGCCCAGCCTCTAGTGGTTATTTAAAAATTAAGTAATGTTTGCTATATATACTGATCACATTCATCATGGGGAGTTTGTACTTATACATAATATATCTTAATTCCATTTTTTCCATTCTCCCTTCCTTTTTTTTTTTTTGAGATAGGGTCTCACTATGCAGTTCAGGCTGGCCTTGAGCTCACTTTGTAGCCCAGGCTGGCCTCAAATTTGCAACGATCCTCCTGCCTCAGCCTCCCAAGTGCTGGGATTATAGACATGTGCCACCAAGCCTGGTTGACCCTCCCTTTTTTTTTTTTTTTTACAAATTCTTTTAAGGTTGTTGTTTTTTTCTAAAAAATCAACTAAGGATGCTTGGCCCTAGACTAAATTTTGGATATCTGAAAATAAAAGGATGAGGCTGATCCCTGTTCTAGAAGAGCTAATAATCCAGATAAAGATTCTTTTCAAATGAATTAATTTGAAAAGAAAAAAAACAAACAGTAAAGATAGAATGGAAAATAAAGACATTATCAAATTGTGTAGCAACCCAGAAAGCCTCAAGATTATCCAGATCTGGGGGGCTTCAATGGGACAAAGAGGGAGGCTTATGTTCTTGGACAAGTAACCTGCACTGGGGGTTTTAGAGGTGTCTAGTGGCGGCTCCAATTTTCTCCATAATGGGAATAAATGTAATGCCTTACCTCTGGGGTAGTTCACAGGGTTTATACGATAGCACATTCCTAAGTGCTTAATACAGGAAGCATTAGTCAATGCTAAATGTACATATAAGAATATACAAATTCTTCCTGCACAGGGTTAGCGGAAGAAAGCTGAAGCATCTGTAGTGCAATCCATCCTACTGTTGTGGGACAGCCTCATTCCTAGGAAGCCCGAGGGCAGCCACCAACCATACCCACATCGCTGGAAACGTGTGCACAATCTCCTTCTTGGGCGGCCCAGCATGCTCAGCAGCCTCCTCCCTCAGTAACAAGCCTCTGTGGTCCTGCCAGCCTTTATACTTACAAGAAGATTCCTTCCCCATAATTATCTAAGAGAAACCACTCCTGGGGAACTGCAGTCAAACCCAGATCACTAGAAATATGAGAGAAGAGTCTGTACATGCATCCACAGTGCTTCTCAAACATGGCCCCTCTGTATGAACATCTAAGTGGATGCAGGTTGGGCAGACTTAATCCTAAAACCCAAACTCTGAAATGCTCCAAGATCCAGAACTCCTTTTGTGCCTATTGGTGCCACAAGAGGAAAATTCCACATCCGACCTCATGTGGTAAGGCACACACAAAAGACAGGCACATTACAGACATTATATGAAATTCTCGGGGCTGGGGATTTAGCTCAGCGGCACAGCGCCTGCCTGGCAAGTGCAAGGTCATGAGTTCGATTCCTGGTATCAGAAAAAAAAAAGAAATTCTCTTCAGGCTGTGAGCGTATGCATATATGAAACAGACGAATTCTATGCGTAGACTACGATTTGCTATTATGTACACACAAATGCTCCAAACTTTGAAAAAACTTTGAAATGCAAAATATTTCTGGTCCCAAGCATTCCAGATAAAGGATACTCCACCAGCAGTTGCCGTGGATACATGCGAGTTGACATGCAAATCATGAACCTATGTTGACACGGCATTCATTTACTCTCTAGTTGGGAGGATGCTAGAGAAGGTGCATTCCTACAGCGAGCCCTCTGCTGCTGCCCGAGCTCAGTGTCCACTCCCCGGCTTTGAGGCGACGATGAAGATACAAGCGATAATAAAGACTCCCCTGCCTTGGGGCCACCACTGCCAGCCCCGACTTGCTGCTGCAGGTGATGGGGCAGATCATGCTGGGCCTTCTCCCTGCTTTGGGCAGCTGTTCGCCAGCAGCACATTCTCTCCAGTGCCAGGCCCTGGAAATTGGCCTCGAGAGAGGAGAAAGTGCAAGCGGCCTCTGGCAGAGTCCACAGCCCAAGCCAGATTGCTGACTCATACCCTGCACCCTCACACCAGGAGCCAGATCTATGTACACAGGACTCACAGGTGCTGCTGCAACTCCAGCAGCACTGACTTCTCTAGGCTGGTCTCGTTGGAGATAATGAAATGGGGAAGATCCACATCAGGTAGCGCCTCCAGCCCTGATGCTCGGAGCAAGGAGGAGCCTCGCTCCCAGCCCCCAAGGTCCCCAGTGGAGGCTGGGCTGGACGATTCCTCCAGGGGAGAATGTTCCTCATAGATCAGCAGGTTCCTGGATCTCACTGCGGACACAGCAAAGCAACAGGGTGTTAGCCAAAGGCCACAGCAGCCCTAACTATAAGTATTCTTGTTCATACATCCCTTACTAAAATGCCTGGGGCTGGTGGTAAATAACAACCGGCATGTTCTTGTTGCCCAGGAAAGAGAGTGCCAACTGAATCTGGCTTTCTGTAAAGGTTTCAGAGTTTGTGCACTGAAAAATTATACCAATTATACAGTGCTGGAAGAACAAGAGAAAAGTAAATACACAGGAAGCCAACTACCACCCCCACTGCTTTGAAAATAAAACTCTCCTCCTTACCCACCCATAATCATCTAGGGAAAACAATGAGTGGAAAATTGGAGTCGAATCCTTGGAGATGTCCAGACCCAACTACAAGAAGCATCCTCAGTGAGGAGCCCTTGTAGGGAGGGAGAAAAGGTACAAGAGCATTTTCGTTTAGAATCGGGAGCAAGGCAAAGCCAAGCCATAAATCGGAGGATGGAGACAATCTCTTCTGCTTTATAGGACAGTCACATAACTAGATGGCTCTGTAGCAATTTTTCCTCGACATAGAAACTATGTTCCCATTTGCTTCCAACATTTAGAGAGATATTCCCTTAGGGAAAAAGAGTTTCCCAACAGGCCACTGAAACGATCTGAGTGCAGTGCTAGTCCTCTTGTTTTTCACCAGGCAGGGATATACCGGGCATTTCAGATTGGCAAAATACTCCCTACTCAGCACCTCCTGGCTCCGTGCTCGGTTTTACGCACACAAGTGTATATCTGTGTGTATGGCCCTAACTTGTCACTTGTTTATTTTCTGCTTGCTTAGATCATCAGTCGAGATGAGAACACGACACACTTCTTAGCTAACACCAGAGTCTCTAAATTCTCTAAACCTTGGCTATCATGTTTCGTGAGACAGACTTATTCTTTCATTTCATTTTACAGACTTTCAGTGTGGCAGCATACAGTTCCACACAGTGGAGCTCCCTTAAAATGTCACAGAAGGCTTAGTGTTCCCTACATCCTGCCCACCCCCTAAAATCCACATCCTGCCCCCTCATCAGAGCTCAGAGAGAGGATGTCTGAACTCATCAGAGAACGAGGTCTGCAGCATCAGGCTGGAAATGGTGCGCTGCAGAACTCGGGGGAATTTTAGTGCTGTCTCAGCACAGCTGGGGCTAGTGGAGAGACTAATTTTTAAAAACTGGACTTTCTTACAAGATTCCCTTCAGAAAGCTGGGAAAACAAGAAAGAAAAAAGAAACAAGACCTTTCCCGAGTGGCCAAGGGAGTCTTACCCACGGAGGCTGTGTACGGCTCCGGCAGGGAATGCTGGCTGGGCAGAGCCATCTTGGTGGCAGAAGGATAGGGCCCATAGCCCTGAAATAAGCTGCCAAAGGCAACAGCAAAGCACAGCACAACGACCTGGAAGAGGAGGAGAGAACACGTGTGCTGTAGGTTCCAAGCAATCTCCACAGAGCAAACCCACAGGCCCGAGAAGGAGGCAGACACACCTTGTGGTCACTTCATGGTAATGACATGCAGGGGAACAGCCCCAGAGCAGGCTACCTGGTTCTCTCCAGCTGCACTGCACTTGGTCTTAGCACAGGGGGAAAGCCAGGAGACAGGGGGACAGGTCAGAGGCAGTTCCTGCACTGTCCTTTTGGGAAACTCACCATGAGGCAGGTGCCAGTCTGTGTGCCAGCCAGCTTGCAGGTCCGGGAAACCTTGCCCATGACCAAAGTCTGAAGCTTCTGGAGTTGCTGAAGGAGAGTCCTATCCACGGTGACAAACAAAAGTGGAGACGGGACATGAAAAAGAAGAGATGCTTCTTAGTGACCCCGACCCTGGTCCTCAGGGAACTTGCAGCAGCTTTGTGCCTGTGTTTACGCAGAGGACTGAGGCAGCTTCGTCTGTGAGAAGGTGCAGAATCCAGGACCTGCTAGCTCCATTGCCGGCGCTCTCGGGAGCTCAGAATCACCCTCGACACCACGACAGCTTGTCCTGTCTTTGTGTTATTCTGAGTATGAGACAAATGCCCCCAAATGGTCTCTGACCAACTGAGACTCATCTGTTATCCATTGAGAACAAAGGAAAGAGATGGCTTTGATTGGATGGTCACTGCGCTCTGCATGTCTATGCCCTCCCCACCAAAAGCCGTATGTCAAACTCCAGCCCCTAAAGCGATGGCGTTTGAAGGGAGCCTTTGTGAATGGGATCAGCGCCCTTGGAAGGAGCTGAAAAGACTAGAGTTCTTCCCATCTGCCCTGTGAAGACATGGCTGAAACACACCTGGCCTGAACCAGGAGGTAACCTTCACCGATACACAAAATCTGCCAACACCTGGATCTTGGACTTCCCAGCTTCCAGAACCGTGGGAAATAACTTTCTATTGTTTATAAGCCATGAAGCTTATGGTACTTTTTTTTAGCAGCCTCAGCACAGTAAGAGGAGAACTCACTCAACCAAAAGCCCAGAAACACTGGTGAAAGAGGAAAAGCAGAAAGGAGAGAGGACAGAAAGCAGCAAAGAACAACTGAAGGACTAGCCAGAGGTGGTGGCTATGGCTAGAATGGCAACAGTGTCCCTGAGCAACAGGTACTGAGGTGTGGGCAGGGATAAGGGCAGGGAGGCAAACAGCCATCTCAAGCAGACTTGTAGCATCTCCGCACTCAAAAACAAAGCTAAACTATAAAAGAGCAAGAAGCCCTGTCAACAGGACCCTCAGGCTCAGAGCCAAGGATCGTAGAAATGAGCCTCTGATACACACTCATCTTTCTCCAGGAAAAGACAGAAGATAAAAGAAAGAAAGAAAAGAAAAACAGTTGTTTTATCCCCCAAATTGGCAATACTGCATCCTCTTACAAAGGAAAGGTTTGGAGCTGAAGGTAGCATTAGATGCCCTGTGTGACTGGGTACAGAAATAGCACATGGGCAATTCTGTAAAGTCTGAAGACCACAAGGCATACACAACTACCTGACCACACACCCCCCTGGATCACCCACACCTGGGATGATTTCAGGGTGAACAGTGGAAAGAGTTGAGGTCCCTCCTCGTCTTTGTCTTTTCCTTAAATCCAATCAATATACACACCAAAGTGGAAAGATTTTATGAGAAGATGCTTTTTATTGAGGCTCAGAGAATTTTGGAAACTTCATGCGGTGATGTAATAATGTCAGCGAGCCACACGAGTTCATTGGGCAACATCAGCAAATAACACTTATTTTGCAGGAAAAAAAAAAAAATCTGGCCTTTCATAGTGAACTTGCATCTCATCACAGTCTGTACCCTGAATAACTTTCAAGTGCTGGAAATCCAAGCGGCCTCTTGCAAAGATTGCAATTTCTCCTTGGCAGGTACCAAAGAAGCGAGTTCTCCAATTTAAGCAAACCAAGGACAAGCTGGCTCTGAGAATGGTTCCACTTTCAGCAATAAAATGAAGAGGGGTGGGAGGAGTGGAGCAGCCCACAGCACAGAGAGCAAAAGCTTTCTCAACTCAAAAACGCCACGTGGATCCCTGTACACTCTATTTCTACCTTGTAGAGTGATTCATTTAAGCAAATCAGAATCGATGATTCAATTACTATTTAATGTGGAGGTCTTTTTGTACTTACACACGTTTTGTTTCTGGTTGTATAAAAGTATGATCACATGTAGTTTAGACCTGACTTATGTTTACATAGATTCAAGTTCCATATTCTTTTTTTTAAAGAGATAATAACAAAAACAAAAACAAATTGAAAAACAAAACCACATGAAAACAAAAAAAGATACAGAATTACAAAAAAAGGACGATAAGTTAACAATGGTCGTTCTATTACTTATTATTATCAAAGTAATTGCTCAGATTACCAGATATAGACATGCAAGATTGATCAAACAACTAAATATTACCTGTTCCTTTCAACAACCATTAGAAATTAGTAGTACAATTGTCTTAGCTATCTTGTATGTATATATATATATATTTTTTTTTCCCACTTCCTTCTTGCTTTCTTTTCTCCTTTCCCTCATCCCAGTTGTTCTTTCCTTTTGAGCAGTTTCTTTCCCTTTCACAATATCTGTCGTACCTTTCAGATTTTATTAACTCTTTCAGGTGCTTACACTAGGGAGACAATATGGTGTTTACACATGCAGGCATGATTTATTTCACTTATGAATAGGGTCTCTCTAATTGCATCCATTTAGCTATAAAAGCCCCAGAGTTTATCTTTCTTTATAGCTGAGTGAAGTCACATATTCTTCAAAAGCATTCTGTACATTGTTCAGGGCTAAGAAAGACAGAACACGATTCCTTTAAGTTCCACTGCAAAGAGGTAGGAATGATGCTGAGTGGCAGAGCATGTCCCTAGCATGTGCAGAGCCCTGGGCTTGATACACAGCACCACAGTAAGTGAATGAATGAATGAATACAAAATCCACTTAAAGAAAAAATGTGCAACTGAGTAGTTCTATGAGGTAGCACCTTTTCTCCTCATCAATGTCTTTCTTCCCTCATGATCTCCCCAGAATACTTCCCTTGGACCCAGCAGCATGGGTGTCTTTTCAAACTAAGAGCTGAGTGACCTGCTGCCTGGCAACTTCCCGAGATAGTGCTCATTCTCACAGAGCAGAGAGTGTGCGGGTCACAGCACGTACTAGATTGAACATTATCTGTAGTGCTGGCCCCAGTATCCCCATGAGGTTCTCTCTGATAGTATTTCTGGAAGTTTTGAGGCAGATATACAGGTGAGCTCACAGGTAAGACCACCTGGCACAAACTCTTTGCTCTCATACACGGGTCACCCTCCGTGGCACCAAATTATCAGCTCTTTGCTGCCTGCTAAACTATGGCTACGGGCCTCCCTGCTTGCTCGGTCTGCTGAAGGGTCACTTCTTTAAGCGATGGCTGCCATTTTTGCTGGGCTCCCCAGTGCTGCACTGGGCATTCCCATTGCCCAGTGTCTGTGGCCTGCAGGTTTTGCAAGGGGGTGACCTCTCTCCATCCAGCCTTTGGTTGGATGTGACCTTCCCAGATAGTACCCAGGCCACATTACTTTTGTTCCCAAGTCTTAAAATGGTTTGAAAATGAAACCACCATTTCTATTTTCTACTCGCAGTTCCCGTTATCAGCAAACAACCCACACCTCCTCTCTGCCCGCTCCCTGCCCAGCGTTTGGAGTGTGAGCTGCTGAGAAGATAAGTTCCACCTACTTGAAGTCACTCCTCCCTTCTGATTTCTGGTTCAGTCGGCTAAGCATGGTCCCCCTTTCCTTAGAACCAATGGTCTCCCAGGAAGCACCATGGTCCTTCCTGAAAAGAGACTTCTAGCAGGCCAGATAAAACAGTCCACTGACTGAGTACCTTAGGATCAATGTGGGACACCGGTACCTAGGCCACCTAGTTACAGGTACAAAATACTACAAGTTTATAAGGCTGACTTCAGTCTGGCTGAGAGCACAGGGGGCCCGTGCTTACTTCGGGTGAGATTAGGCTACTTCATTTGACATTCAAGAGCACATCCTTTCCATTCTCAGAGATGATTATATGCTGAATCCACTACAAATGAAAATGGTTGTTTAATGGTCCCTGATTTCTAACAGTTTATAATCCAGCTCTGCTAAAAGAGCAAACATGTAGTTTAAAATACATATTTTTGGCTTAGAATTTCGGCGACGTGCAACAGTGATTGATAATGCAGTGTTTGCCGCTGTTTCTCCCCCTTGGGTGGATGTAGGTAAACTGAGTGGATGGTAGAAATGACAACACTGCAAAAGCCTTGCCGACTGGCAACCCTGGAGCACCATAAAGTGGATTATTTCATCCACCCCACATACCTAAATAGCCTCCCACAATCCAGTGGAGTTTGGGAAATTTACATACATGCACACCAAAAAGACCTTCATTTTCATCACAAAGCAAAATTAACACTGACTGAGTTCTAGAAAGTGCATATCCTGAAACACTACATAACTAGCTCCATGGCACATGACTAAGTAAGTGGACTGTGTCAACTACAACAATCTGACTCCACAGCTTGTGTGTATAGCACAGTGAAATACCCTAAACAATAACTTAATAAAATTAACAACCACATACTTCCTACTTAAGTTCATCTTACTTAAATCTAGTCCCAATAACATCACACTGACACCAGCCAAATGGAGGGATGCTGCATATACACAGTTAGATACGAAAATGTTATCACAATATGAAAAAAAAAAAAGTAAGCCACAGAAGAGCTTCAATAAAACCCAGGCACAAATAAAAGCCACAGTAAAACTCAGCCCGACGGCAATGAGACACAGGCTAACAAAATTTCACTGATAATGACATAAATAGAAACCCTAAGTCCAAATAAACATGTTGGGGTACATCTGACATAACAGAGATAAAATGCAGGTGATGGGTAAAAGGATGAAGGGGACTCTGTTCTATTTCAGGATCAGGAAGCGAAACCCAGGCTTTAGTTAGACACGTGGGAAAGGTAAGCCCTACCCCTCTGTCAGACACCAAGAGACTAGAGGAGATGGCCTTAGGATTGTTAAGCCGGTGGAGAGATAGTCAAGCAAAGAATCCTCAGTTTTAGACCTCAGAGCTACTGTTTTATGCCCCTAATCAAGTTACCCAAGATCTGAGATTAGGCAGCTAATCAAAGATAATTTCTTTGACCACATCAGCTAACAGGATAATGGGAGAATCAGCCCTCCTGGGGTACTCTGAGTTAGCTGAAGCAAAACGTTTCTGAAAAGTGCCTGCTGTCTCGTTTCACCAATGACAGATGGAGTGAACTCTT